CACTCGGAAGAATGTGTCGGCGTTTCAGCCGTTTTTGCAATATTTTGCTGCAGGATCTGACACCGCTTCATGTCAAGATTACGAGGAGAAAGAATTTGTTGAGTGTTTCTCGGAGGAAACTCAAATTATCGACATATTTACACACTGTAAGTTACAACCACATAAGCTTTCTCAATCGCTCGCAACTCGTCACCGGGAACTCGTCTGAGTTCTTGCTAGTTCTGGTTTCTATTCGATAACATGAAGAATGATAAGTAGTAAATTCATTTTCGAAAACAGCCTCCATTCAGCGGAAACTTTTTCTCTTTTCGGTGTGATATCTTTTGTTTCTTTGAATTTATACTAGCTTAGCTTCTTGGCAATTCAGTCGTCCACGGCTCCCGTGTTTTCATACATCAAATATATGAACAACCTGAAAACCGTTACGTAAACTATAGAGAATGTTTCGGCTATTTCACTCAGCTCGCAGAGACCTCGTTGTTTTAAAAATGTAATCCTTCATCTTAATAAAATAATTTTAAAAGCCGTCGTCGTTCGAAATTATTCGCCCTTCATTCAGCGATGAGGGAACCTTCTCTGTCAGAGCGCGTGGAAAACCATGGAAACAGTTGATTGACGTCCGCGAAAACTCAGGTTAAAAACCCCTTCAAAGGCGCGTGTTCTCCTGCCATCGCCATATTGGAAAACGAGAAGACCTTGGGGATGCGGTTGGCTTCGCGCGGTAATTCCGCGGCCAAACAGGACACACAATCAGATCCCGCTTATATAGTTAGTGCCTGTATATTTCTTCATCCCAGATAAGCATTCAGAATAGATCAAAATCAAAACCGTTCAATAGATAAAGTCCGGAATGTGGGGAATGAAAGGAGGTAAATATACCAAGTTCCTCGCCAAGATTCAGGTCAGAAGAATATTCCGTATACGAGATATCCGAAGAAATGTTTTACGCAAATTTATAGAGATTTGTATGGAGACGCCACGCCGGTGCCCATCCAGGTGGGCACCGGCACATGGCGGACGGAAACCAACAAAAACATCTGTTACCGAGTTTTGCTACAAAAGCGTGAATTTATTCCTCGAGGAACTCATAAATATTAAAGTAATGCTTTTTGTAATCCAGGAACTGTTTAGACAGCAAAATCCCCCGAAATAGGTCACTTTTTTAACCTACATGACAGCTCTCTCGGCCGTCATGTAAATGCCACGTCACGCAAAAGCTTAGAAATTCAAGCGTACTCTATCACAAAACCAAGACCCCTTTTGAAGCGAAAATTTGTATGAAAATTAGTTTTCAGCAGCTCTAATACATCATGAAAGTAAAATCTCAGTAGGATCGATAGTTTTGTAGTTTGTGCTTTAGTGACGTTATGTGAAAACCAACAATTAGGGCGGGTCGAGATGGCCGCTCCCTCTTCTCTGAAAGTGTGATCAAACTTCTTGGCAAACTAATTTTTGAACGCAGCTGCAATACTCGTCACAAATCGTTGAAACAAGAGCCATTTGTCTTGAATTTTCTCCAGATTTCTTACACTCACTCCTGACATCTTCGCTCTCACTTNGGATTTTTCTGGTTCTACCCCTGCATTATCCTTATTGTAATTTAATACATTGATTATATTTTATAACTTTTTCGGTTGTGGCGGCGAGGATGAGAGGTGGTGGGGGGGATTTTTAATTGTTAAATAATTGCGCGCGACAAGAGGAACCCCCAATCCTAATCTCCAGGCTGCTATTCGCATGCACTACAGCACTACACGCATTCTTCGTGATGTGGCTGGCGCAATGACGTTTGATGACGATGATACTAGTGGTGGCGTGATGTGATAGACCAGGAGCTCCTGGATAGACTGATAGATCCCGAAAAGGGTAGTGAACTTGAAGAACTGGAAATAGCAAAAAAAGAAAAAAAATTATGTTTTGGTCTCGTTGTAATGGCGCTCAAGAATGTTATTAATTTATTTCTATTTTTTGTTTTTTTAATTCACCCCTTTTTAATGATACAATAATAAATTAGAAACATTCGTCAGAAAATGACCATAAAGCCCAAGGAAACCAAGATGCTTATACAACGTGGGTTTTCTCTACTTAATTACAAAATACACTAAATATTAACTGAACGGCGAATGTAGAGTAACAATAATAGGTAGAAATAAGGTATTTCGAAGAAAAAGGAAAAACAAATATTAGAAAGAGAGTTACACCAAGCCACAAAGTCTTTGATTGACTCCAAGTTGGGAAAAGTTGGGAAAAGTTGGGATACCTGTGGTTTGGGACTTAAATCCCAGTCTTTACTCAGCCCATCAAACTTTTGAGTAAGAAGTTCAGAACTCGTGACAGTCGTTCGGGCGTAGAGTTTTAATTGCCGGTAAAAGCTTACGTAATACTTTTTACTACAGAATGGTGAAACCAACAGCGGGAGAAGTTGTTGTACTCGAGACTAAGGTAAATACGTTGCTAATACATCGTGTTTTAGCTCTGAACAAAGTTAAAAGTTCATGCGCCATAAATTGTACTGCAAGTGATCGACTCCCTGATGCTCTTTCAACCGTAGCCAGAAGCAACTTGTTCTTAGTTTAATTTACCCACGCACTGTTTTTCACCTGTCTCAATCATATCGATAATCTATGAAAGATATCCAAATTGTCTCTCTTTCTTTTCTCGTTTGAAACACTAATTAAAGCTTATGCTAATAGATTTTATTACACACGAGGCATACAGCCATGGTTGAGCATAATTTTATTGTCTAATTGGGCGATGACTTCAGCAAAACCACAGTCTGGCAGACTTTACTTTTTAAAAATAAGCCTGAACATGTACAATAGTCAACGATAGATCTTAAGCACTGACGATTTCTGAAAGTGTATTGTAATAAATGAGGGTCTAAAAAATGTTTGTTTAATACCTTTGAAAATTATCGCGCTCTAGTTTCGGCAGTTCGAAACTGATTAATGTTGGGCCACATACGGTTTTAGGAATTCTTGGAAGTAAAATGATTGATTTGCTTATTTCTGATTCATTTAGTTATCTTTTCATTTCCCTCTTGGTATTTGAAAGCAACTTTCCATTCAACCAAAACTTCCGGTTTTTAGTAATCCGCAAATTCCGTGTAGCAAACGGAACAGGCCCTGGCTGGTTTATAAAAAGCTCATTACTACTACCCCTTACACCAATTAGAGTACACCAGACAATGTTTTTGTAGTCAAAAGTATGAAATTGTCGTTCTGAGAGTGCCACAATTTTTCATAGAAGACCAAATTCCAAACATGTTCTGAGGATTTCTGAAGTCATTCTGAAGAGTTTCAAAGTTTTCAGTTCCAGTGCTTTCCATGTAGCATGAATTTCAGACGATTACTAATTCGAGTCGTTTTTACTCTTGCAGTAACATCTGAATTGACTGCCCATTAATGCCACCCAGTGACATCACTTCTCCTTTGCTTTAATTCACGCAAAAAGTAAAACACGATTTTCAACTGGCAAACAAAGAAATATCATGTGGAGATGTCCACATGATACAGAATTGCTTTACTCTTTCTGATCGTACTTCATGTTTGATGTCCAAACTTTCAAGTGCATGCAGTACTCTGAACGAATCTGTTGTAATTCGGTAATCAAACTCGATCGCAATGAAATATAAAATACACGCACAGAACACTTCAAAAACACAACAATTTGCTTTAAGTGAAAAGGATCTCTTTGGTCCTTAATGAAGAAGAAAGAAAACAAGTCAGAAAAGCTAACCGAATCATCACACTTGACGGTGGAAATGACAAGAAGGTCAAATTATGACTTAAATCTCAGAAAACTTTGCATAAACAAAATCACTGCGGAGTTACAAAGCGACTCTAAATGAAAAACCTCCCAACTCGCCGCAATGATGCTTCATTCATCGTTCGATAAATATTTATCAATTCATAGTCTCAAAGACAAGTGCAATTTTGCTGTTTGCAATGAAGATAGTAGAAAGCCAGTTTGAGTGGGGCACTGTGAAATCTGGTTTTGCAGCAAGTCTAGGGATGGAACCAGTCTTTGTGAACACTTTAATGTGCAAATGTGTTGCTCACTCACTGACTCACTCAGGTTTAGATATTTTGAAATAATATTACAAGTCGACACCAGACAAGAGTGCCCATATCAAAAGGACAAAAATTGTCAGAGATCAATTGTTTCCGGAGGGCCAAATGTTATCTGTGGAAGCGACAACTTACCCAATGTTGATCAAAATTAAAGGGACTGTGCCATGGCAGTACAGTTCATTTTGTTTAATTTTGCCAATTACTCACCCTCAATTGCCATGGAACTTAAAGTAAGCAAAGAAATTACATGTAAATGACAAAGTCAGAGATTTGAGACAAACAAATATGTCTCTGGAGCATTGTTTTCGAAGTTGCAAACAGCAGAGATAAACTTTGAAAAACTGTTAGGCTGAACAGTTTTCAAAAAATCTAATTTCAGTCCATTTCAATCTTCTTCAGTGTTGCCCATCTGTGGCATCTGTTGTATCTGTTGTGTTATTTTAGCCTTCCTTTCATGTTTTAAGCGGTTATTTTTATGTTTTTCTCAGTTTTAACGGGCATTTTGTAATTACCTAATTTGGCTGAATAATTCGTGACACAACTCGATCCTTTAAACCACATGCTTTGACACTCTCTCTGTGATGCTCAGAGATGAGAAATAGTAAATTTTGTGAATGCTAAAGGTTATAGTTTGGATTTTTTGTGCTCTTACTGTCAAACTCAGAAAACCGTAAACACCAAAAAATTTCAGGAACATGTTGATTGTGTACATGTAGTGACCAATCACAGTTAAGTTCAGGACAAATGAGCAAACTGCAAATTAATAATTTTTTTTTTCAGTTTTAGTTTTCTCGCTCCTTATTGGCTACTTCCTTGTAACGCAGTAACATTCCATAAAAATATTTCTAATGTTCACGGTTTTGTGAGTTTCAATTAAGTTGCAATTATGTACCATTTTTAATCTAATATTAATCATGACTGTAATTTCTGCAGGAGGATTTTGATACATTTCTCAAGGAAGCAGGCTCAACACTTGTTGTTGTAGACTTTTATGCTGATTGGTGTGGCCCTTGCAAGATGATAGCTCCAAAAATTAAGGTACTAATAATTTACGTCAATTTAGCCAGGCCTAAAAGCCGAGCTGCCATGGATGTGCTTGAAAAAGAAAAGAACACAACCACATTAACATGACGATGCCTTTATATATGACCAATGACTGACTTTAAATATATGGGATCTTCAAAATTTTGCTTGTTTTATGATCAGTCAAATGTCTGGCAAGATGTGTAAAACACCAAGCATTCAGGTGATGTGTGTGATTCGTGGAAGATTGATAATGACTGTGTACTTGTCACTGCATATTATTCTTAGTTCTAATTGCTTAATACCACAATGTGACACCATTCTGCAAATTCGCAAGGTTCATTCAAGCTCATAGATCCTGGCATGTCAGTAAAAACCCATTGTAAGAACCCGCTGTGGTTTAACAACATGCTGGCAGGAATTCTTACTGGGTTTCTACTGTAGTTTTTCAGAAAGTGATAGAGTCAAATTTGCACTGAAATTGTAATATGGACAGGATCGTTTCTGTTACAGGGTTTTGCAACGGAGTTTAGTGGAAAGGTATATTGTGCAAAAGTCAATGTGGATGAAAATGATGTAAGTAAGAAGACAAGCTGCTCTGTAGCAAATTTCCCAGTGTTTGAAATATGTAATATTTATTATCTCCTTCCTGAGAATATGTATTATGATACTATCTGTCTTGTTATTGGCTAAGAGCCTATGGTTTAGTCTGGAAATCAGTGCACCCTAGCAGGAGAACTGAATAACGTTTGTTTCAAAAGTAATAAATTGTGTTTGATGTCACAGTGTATTGTAGCTATTAAATAATGTATGATCAAACGATAAATATTACCAAATTCAGATTTTGTGATATCCAGAATAATCGTTATCAGCTGAGGCTGATAACACTTACCAAGACCTTGATTTACTGAATATCTAATCACAAAAACCTCATTTAAGAATCCTTTCAATGGGAAAAAAATGAGATCATTATACTTTTCCTGGGCTCAGTACTTTGTTATTAAGACTGCAGCTGTATAGCTGAAATCTTTACACTCTACCTCGTGGAAAGTTATTTTTTCTCAACCTTTTTCTTCTCCGGGTGCAAAGAAGGTCAGTTTTTTAGCCTGCCATTCGGGCAAGCTGTAGCTAGCATGTAGTAGCCTACAAGTCATTTCAACTAGTCCCCAAACTCTTTTTGATTAGCAGGATTGATTACAATCCTTCTGTAATTTGAATTTCCCAAAAAAAACAGCACTTGCCCTTCAGGCAAGTTAAGATAAAAAATCACTAGCCCGATGGCAAATCCACTAGCCCCGGGCTATCGCACAAGACTTTCTTTGCACACTGCTTCTTATGGTAAATAAGTAACAGCAAGTCATGTTGTCCAGTTCTGTCTGTAATAATCATACCATGATAAAACAGATCACCCCTGCTACATGGATGTCTGTTTTTGTAACCTATGATTACAAGCTGCTCAATCAAGCTTCATTCAATTCTTGAATTTAAGCATTGTTTTCAGGTGTTGGAATATCAGATTATAAACAAACGTTTTCGAGTCTTTGATCAAGTTTCTGAAATAATCGTGATTATTTTATTCTTGGGGAAATTCTCAATTAAGTTAGTGGTCAAAATATTTGTCAATTTTGAAGTAGACCTTTAGGTTGGTGACTTATTCTACCCTCATACAGTAAAAGCCCACATAAAAACCTAGTGATTTAAGAGCCTACAGTCTGAAAGTTGGCATTTAAATACTTCCCAAAATAAGAACCTGTTCAGCCTGGAAAAGAAAAATAGGTTCTTATACAAAGAAGTCACCCCAATTTTGATCATCAAAATTCTGTAGTTTAATTGTGTGAGAAACTTCTGACAAAAAGTTGTTGGGTATATGTTTTCTTTGATTTATGTTTGTTTGGATTTTCACAAGAAATCTGTTTTCCATAAACCATTATGTATCAGTAGGACAATTTTTCTGCCAATGGTTACACTACGACAACCTCTGAAAAATAAGAACTTATTAAGAACCTAATCAGCCTGAATTGTAAAAAAACTACCCTATAGTATAAGAACCTGTTCAGCCTGACCTCGAAAATTGTAGGTACTTATATGTGGGCTTTTACTGTATTGTAAATGATTTGTGAATTTTGAGTTCACTCTACAGTCAGCGATGATTGTTATTGTTAGCTGGTGAATAAATTCTTGAAATACTTTATTCTTTATGAGGCTATCTCATGCAGTATGAAGAATTTCTCATTCATGGTATTACACAGCCAGTGCAAGCATATTTTTGGCTTCAATATGTTTGCAGTTTACATTTTAATTGTAATGAAACATTCTCTGGAATAATGTTGGATGAGGTTTGAAAGGGCCCTTACTTTTTTTGTAACAGGAAACTGCTGAAAGTGAGGGAATTTCAGCCATGCCTACTTTCAAGCTCTACAAAGATGGCAAAAAGGTACAAGGACAATTTTATTTATTTTATAATCTTTTTTTTTTTTTTCAAAAGATAAAAACCTTTGGAGTAGCAACACTAGACAAAGGTTTGTGAAAGAAATGTGTTATCTTAATGGAATGTTGATCATGGCCTCTATTCTAATCAGGCAACGACAATTGAATAAGCACTTTCAGTGATTGTTATAAAGATTATAACCTTTGCTGGGCTGCTGCACCACATAGCAAGTGAATAGCAAGTCTTGAGTTGTGTCACAAAGAACACATCAGTGATCTCAGCCCTCACACAATAACACAATAATTTTCACACCATACCAAACGATACAATAGTACATATATTGACTTGGTATAATTATCGAGGATCACCCCTTTGCTGAGTAAAGTTGCTATGTAAGCTTTTGATGCCTACAAGTACTCTTTTTTTGCCCACTTGTGTACCGGTGTGAAATAATCTTCCGGTTACTGCTACATTATCACTCCGTCTTTGCCTTTGTTTAAGGCCACAGTTAAAAGCTATCTGTCATCATCTTCTGCCTAGCTAATTATGACCACCCATTGCCATGATAGGTCTGTACTTTTGGCAATTAACTGATAAAAGACAAAAAAAGAGTTGATGAGTTTTTATTTATATAATTTATTAATTTAGAGCTTGAAGCTTCTAATGCATGAAAACAATTCATAGTTTGCACAGACCTTGGAAAGTCCCGGAAACTAAAGCAAATATAAGGTTTTGTCCCAAAAAGGTCCTTCAAAATTTAATGCTTGAGTGTACTAGAAATAAAAAGCCATTCTGAGCCATCAAAAGATGGCTAGGTAAACATGGATATGGATAATATCAATTGAAAATGACGAAATGATCGTTGCAGTGAACGCAATTTATGCAATAGCATAAAGAAGCCTGAAAAAAATTCAGGATTTCAATGGGGTGTGAACCCGTGAGGGGAGATGTGCTTCCTCCAAAAGGAGTACCTTCTTCTAGTTTTCAGTTTATCAAAGGGTAGTGAGTATTTCATAAATTGAAGTGCATGAAAGGGTAGAGAAATTTAAAAGGTCTTTTATCATTTTAGTCTATTAAAATGATATACGAAAATAACATAAAGACTTGCCATTTTAGCAACTATTCTTATTAGTAGGTATGTTAAATAAGTGGAGTTTTTCAATAGAAGGGGTAATAAAGGGCTACCTTTTCTGCCAAAAATGGTATATATAGCAGTGTTCTCCTTATCAGGCGGTAACCGGTAAAATTTACTGTCTGAAGTAACACTTCTTACTGCCTGCAACCTCTTGAAGGTTTACTAAAATTAAGTAAGTTGTTTTAAAGAATACGTAAGTTGTGATCCGATCCGATCAAGGTAATGAATGAATACATGGAAGTGTACTAATGTACACACAGGTTTTCTTTTTATGGGCCACGCATTTTGGAAACAGAGCATTTGAAGACAGAGAACAATTGTTAGAATCAAACGTATTGAATTGAGATAACAACGGCTGACTTGCGTAAAACAGGACTTCAAATGAGGGGGAATGACGTTTCAGAGAACTTAGCTCCTTAATTTCACAGCGTGGTCGAAGCCATGTCCTTCACTCTACTACCCCCTCCCCAGGAAAGTGCGCACATATTTTTTGCCTGACCGGCGACGAATGGTCCCTTAACTGCTGAGCTAAAATTTAGGGAGAACGCTGTATAGAGGATATTACATGGCCGCGCGGAGATACAAAATTTCTCTTCGACTGTTGAAAAAATATTTCACTTGTTCGCTGTGCTCACTTGTGAAATATTTTTTCAACATGAGAAGAGAAATTTTGTGTCTCCAAGCGGCCATGTAATGTTCTATTAATTATATAAACACCAATGAAATACCAAACCATTTCACCTTAATAGTTTTTTGGTGTGAAAGGTGCAACTTATTATGTAGCCTTAGCAACGTTGATATTTTCACATGTGAAAATAACATGTCATTTTATTTTTCACATGTGAAGATATCATGTTTTTGCACAAAAGCTCACCTGGTATTTCATCAGTGTTTATATAATAAGAGAGGATAAGCAGCGATTTTGTTACAAACAGTTTTGGTGAGTCCTGAGACTCATCCCTGTCCACCAATGAGTCCCAGTCCAAAAAAACAAGGAGTCATAAATGTAACAGTTTACTGAAATTAAAATATAGTCCTTCTATAGCTGGTTTGCATGTCACGTGACGGCGGCCATGTTGGTGGCCATGCAAGAACAAAGCATTTCTCTCCTCTGGGAACTAAATTATTCGAGGAAAAATTCTATTGTATTGAACCCAATATGGCCACCTTGTCAAATGGTTGCAAGCCAAGAATATATTTAAAGCACAAAAAAGACTTCTAAAATTAATATAGAAGTGAATATGCATCTTTAAAAAACAGCCACAGAAATCACATGAACAGGATTTTCTACCCAAAAAGTCTTCAAATTGGTTGATCGTTCTTTGCATCCTATGCGATGCATTCCATGAATTATTGTGCATCTTGGGGGATTGTTCTTGCATCAGGGATGCAGGACGCAGAGGTAACAAAATCACTGGTAGGGGGTTGTACCTCAGGCTGGAGCCTCCCTGTATTAAACTTTGATTAGTAGCTGCCCCCACCCCCCATTCTTTATGAGGGCTTGATCTGTTTTTTGTTGTTTTACTTTTTCTCATTGTGAAGAAGGGCACAGGGTTGAACATGTAAGAGCCGAGTTAGATTTTAATGTCTCTCTCTCTTACTAAACCACATTTACTCTTTACAGTGCCAAACACGGGATATATTTAATGGTGTATACTGTATATTATTTTAATGGTGATATATTTTAATAGTGCCAAACATAGGGGATATATTTAATACAAAATTCTAGCATTTTTCTTCTTGTTGTTCTAGGTTGATGAGCTAACTGGTGCGAATGAAGCCAAGCTAAGGGAACTAATTGAAAAGCACATATAACTTAACTTGCCTAATTAGTATTGTATTGAAACATCTCAACCCATGTATACCCTCATAGAACATTATTGTTTGATTGCTGTACACCCATCTATCTTACTACATTTGAACTTGCTGAGAACTATTTTAATAGTTTAGGACATCTCCTCAACCGAATTATCTCAAGGGCTCTAGCTCATGCTGCATAACCTTACAAAATGCAAAGCACTAAGTGAGTTTTGTCGTTAGTTCTTTGTTAAGAGCACTGTGATGTTTGAATAAATTCCTCCTGTCAAGTGAACCAAACTAATCATGGTTTAAGAATTGAGAGAAGTTTACCATGATCTCTATTTATTTATTGCCATGGGTCCATTGTTGTTTCCAGAGCTGCAATCCACTCCATCCGGGGCACTGACCAAAAGGATCACAGCACTGGAAACAAGAATGCTACAGGCGATTCTAAGGTTGTGTGTGAGACTGGGCTGGTTTTCGGTCAAATTACATTGTGGGACTGTCTTGTAGGAAAATTTTCCCAGTTTCCTGCACAACCTTGAATAGCCAATGAAAGAGGCAATGGCATATCCAAAACAGTCACGAAATGTGTAATTAAACACAGCACTGACCAAGTGTCGCGTTCAGCCACAGTATGACCAATACAGTGGGTTCCCAACATTACTGGTCAATCCTTACAGTAGGCACAGGCACACCTTACAGTAGTGAACCTAGAACGTGGCCTTCCTTTCCACGAGTCTCTCAGTGGATGGGTCATAGGTTCCAATCCTGACCGTCCCTGTGACGCCAGTGACTGGACGCAAGGCCCCGTCCAGTTCAGCTTATTAAGCCAACCTTAGAGTAAGTCAGTTGAGCAAGTCTTTTGACTTTTTGAACCGTGAGGGGAAGAAAATTAGGCTCTACCTGCGTTAACTGCGTCGAGCCTTTGAAGGCTTTGAATTCCTGGCAGCACTGATCTCTGGTCGAGTCAACCTTGTTCTGTTTTTCGAGTACGCGCATCTGTTTATTGATAAACCGATGGTCAAACTGAGCCAGCTGTACCAAGAGCGCAGCTATTAGGAAACTGTACAAAGATCTTACTCCATCCATGTAGCGATAGTCCTTCTCGCGTACGCCAAAATCGAGCGCTCAGCTAGCAGAGAGATCAAAGAGGCTCTAACAAATTTGAAAAAACTCGTCCATGGGGGTGGGTGGGGGCTGCCCGGCTAGCTAAAATGGAATAGTACTGGTCCCCTAAGCTGGAGGCCCGGGTTTAAACACCTACCAGGTCATTTAAAAAACTCGGCAAGATCATGATTGGTGTGTTTGGCTCAGTTCAGATGCAGGTGTTGGCCGTTGTCTTCTTCATCCCTCCTTTATCAGTGAAGTTGAAGGGGATGAAAAAGAACCCACGCTATTGTTAAAGAGAATTGAAGTTTTTCCATCATTGGTGTGGTCTAAAACTTCTTATCACACATGCACAGTATGCTCACAGTCAGTGACGACTTTGTTGGCTGACGTCCGAGCATACTATTCATATGGGCATGCTTACTTTAACATCCGAGTTCCATAAACCCTCACTTTCAAAATGAGGCAAAGTGCACAACCTTTCTTGTGAAAATGAGTTTTATTTGCATGAGAATGAAAAATCATTTCCATATCAGTGGCTGAGCACTTAACCTCGTTTTGATACAGAGGCTCGGAAATGGCCTATTAGGGCAAAGGGAGAAATTTCGAGGACGCGCGCAGACGAGGGGATCGAGTAAGCCTCCTACCTTCGCGTGTTCCCTCGCGCGCTCCGTAAAAACTAACCGGCGCTTGCCACGCAGGCTATATTCATAAATATAATGAAAAGAAAACACGTTCTGTTATCCTGTCATCCGCGACATAACATAACCAAAAACAATCATTGATTGTTATGAATTTTTTTAAAACTTTTCAAAATAATTGGGTAGGAGCACTGTTGTTAAAGGATGTCGCTACTTAGCCTGACTTTGAAATACCTCACTTGTTATAATTACAGGAAAACTGGCCGATTTTTTCAAAAGAGGAGCTTCTCGAGAGATTATTTCGTTGAAATAACGCACTTTGAATCTTAAAATAAGCTCATTTATTGAAACATTTATTAATTGTACATCTTTGAAACACTCTTTAGAAATGAGAGGAGATGAAAGAAGTATTTTTCCGTTTTATGTTTCCCTGGTTTGTCTACTCGACTGTGTTATAGACTAAGATTACATTTCAATTGCCTGCAGGTTTTGACACCTTTTAAAGTTTACAAAATTTAAGCTAATTAGTTATAATGTTTGTACGTCACATAGATTCAAGAAAAGAAAGAAAGAAAAAACTCATTTTGGCGACGTCTCTCACTGAGTCTTGTGTCACGTTCGTCTCGGAGCCCACGCGTTTCCATTGAAGTAACGTATGAAATACAAGGCTACTTTGCAGTCTTCTTTGGGGAAAACGCACAATTGCAAGGTTGAAAGTGGATTATAGTTCATCAGATTTAATTTTGTAACAGGTGCGCAGTTAAAGAAAATTGAGTTTTATTAGCCTCTACATCATTAAGTTTGTTGTTCTTTAATTCTCCCTTTCTCGAGATACTTAGATTTATCGATTAGGAAAATCGAGACAACGTGCCATTGAGACACAAAGAAAGCAAAACTGCATTGCTGCTGTTAAAACTGACTATCATTTAAGCTTGAATTAGAAGTCTACTTTCCAGTAGTCTCTTCCACTAGTGTAAAAGAAAATAAAATACGGAAAAAGGATACGAATATCGCCTCCAATTCCCAGGGTTATGACGTGATACGTTGGACGCGATCGTCAATGAAATAATTGTTGATCGGTCATCCCCGATGGAATTCGAAAATTGAAATAAGCAAGAGAAACACTAGTCTGCTACACAGCCGTTTTTAGAGTCGTCAAGCACAAAGTACAAAGTGGGGAGGAGCGTTGCGTGACGACACTAAAAACGGCTGTGTAGCAGACTAGAGAAACACAAAATGAATGCTGGCAGCTGTGTGAAATAAGGGTGAGGTGAAGTTAAAGGCGCAAACGAGCGGAGAAACGGGTAGAAGGACATTGGGGAAATGGTCGCGGCCCAAAACATATCATGTCACAAATATGAAATAGCAACGTGATGGAAATTTGAAGGCGAAACTCAGGAGAATGCGAAAATATAGTACAATGTTTTTTGGTCTAACACAGAAACACTATTTCCGGAATTTTCAACCAAGACCAGATGTTTTTTCTGCAATTCAGTACAAAGTTCTTTCTAGAGATTTCCTTCGAAACAATCGACACGGACAAAGACTTTTTAAGCCGTTTCTAGGCCGACTAAGGTCGTTAGCTTTCTCCTAGACTGTGGCTTTCCTCTTCATTTGCCTGTTGCACCTGTGAAGCCGCCGCCATCACTTGAATTTGACCCAGAAGTTGTTGTACATCAGGTTGGTTGGGATCAATGGCCACGTATACGGCGTTGCTATCGACCAGCGGCACACCGTCTTCTGACGTCACTGGGACAGTGGTACTCTCTTGAAGCACATGCTCTGTAACAACCTGAATAGGAAAAACAGACATTTTTACATGCACGACAAGCAAGAAAAATATTGGGCCTTTGTCTGCTACCGCGTCAAAGCTTACACCTGCTACAGCAACTAGTACCGGCATGTTGACCTTTCCTCAAGTGTTTAACCACTTTCGGGCCAATGACCAAATCTCTCCTTGCCTAGATTATTCCGTAGTTTCCCCTTCCGGGAAATGTAACATCCTCCACATTTTAACAATCAGTTTTGACCACGGTCCCTGATTGCCCTGATTCCTGGCTAGTCCCCCTTTAGGGACACGAAGCAGCCCCGCAAGAGGCTGAATCAAGATATCTCTTGTTGGGGTACAGGGTCCCGATGTTGACAAGAAATCCGTGTTGCACACAAAGTTATTAATTGAAAGCAAACTCTTTTGCGAAGTGAGACGCGAAACGTTCAAATCGCCTTACGGCCTTCGATTCGCGAAGAACTAAGCGACATTAAATACCTCGTCATGATCATTTCCACCGGAGTCCTCCACCACTTCAGTTTCGATGACCATCCCTGCTTGCCCGGATTCCTGGGCAGTTGCCCCTTCAGGGACATGTAGCACTCCTGCGGAGCTCTGAATAAGGATATCCCCCGCACTCGTCTGTATAGACGTAGGCTCTCCAGCGACCTGTTGCGCGGCTGCCTGGTTGACGATTTGCTCTGCCAGCTCAGCTGTTATTTCGGGAATGGTCACTGAAATATTAAAAACGAAAAAAAGAACTACCGTCGATTCTCTCTTAACGGACACCCCGAGAAAACGGACACTTGGAGTTGGCCCTTGCCTCTCTTCACTTCCTATGTTTTACGGACATCACTTCCAAAGAGTCTGTCTTAGAGACAGTTCACCAGAGAATCAGATTGGTGTTCAGAAATGTCAGGTTTTCTAGAGGGAGATAAACCGGAAAAACTTTTGTAGCAGGACCGAAGGACGTTAAAATACTCAGCCCGTATATAAGAGGCGGCTTCAGGAATAGAGTGGTTCTTAGTATATGTCTCGAAAATCCCCGATCAACAAATTAGGGACCTTAACATCTGACGACGGCGACGGCAACGGCAACGAGAACTTCAAAAAAGTAATAGGTTTAGACTAGCAAAACAACAACTTTGCACGCTTTTTTGAACATTTCTCTCTTTCGTCACTGCACGACTTCGTCGTGAAAATAAGCGGCCACGAAATTTTGTTTCCCTTTCTGAATTTGGAAATGGTTCTAAGGATTTTAGCTCCAGGATGAGTTCGCCTACATTATACAAAGTAAGTAAGCTGGAATAATGGCGATGAACGCTAGCTGTCTCACTTTTGTTACTAATGCTGATTACGCGTCCTTATTTGCTATGGAAATTGAGAAATTACTTGCGAATGACAAAATAACAACTTTGTGTGAGAGAAATAACGTCTCCGAAACATTTTTTAAAAAGTTACAAACAACAAAACTGTTTGGCTTACAAGTTTTCAAATCCCAGAATTGCAATCTGTTACAATCTTGTTCAAGTTTGTCCATCTGCTCCCCCTTTTGTTTCCGCTGTGTTATTTATACCTTATTTTAGGGCCTGTTTTCATGGAGGTGGGGTACCCCAGGTAGGTGAGGTAACCCGCTTAGGTGGGGTAACTCACCTACCTGGGGTCCCCATCTTCATGTAAACATGCCCTTAATGTTATTTTTATGTTTCACCTGGTTTTGTGGCAGTTCCCGCGGTTTGACTTTTGTATAAATTTCGTGACACAGTAAAACAACCTACAGAATCCTGCTCTTCCCCACCTCTCCCCCGAAAGGATACATGTCGCGAAACTAACCTGTCGTAATTTGCGGCTGATCCACGTCGGGTTCTCCATCATCCGCATCAGTCCCTCCGCTTCCATTCCGTTGTGTCTGCACCTGGTTCAGTAGATGTTGCGCAAGCAGAAGTTGCTGAGCTAAAGTGATTTTAAACTGACTTCCTTCTTGGTCAGCGCCTTGAACAACGATCTGAGGTCCGCCGGCCCCTTCGGTCACCTCGGCGCTCAGGTTATGAGGGACGATTTCGCCCAAAACCTGCGTAACTTGCTGGAGCAGAGAGGTATCTGGGACTTTTGTTTCTGAAGTTCTGGCTGTACCTGGGACGTCGTTCTGAAAAGAAATGACAAAAAGGCATGTTGCTTTGAGAAGAGAAAAACTGTGATTAGAGCATCGAGGTTAATTTGCACCTGTTCAACTGCGATATGCTTCCCCTCTATCTTGGAGACTGGAACAGGCTAACCATTTGCCCCACTATTTTGGAACCTAGAACAGGGTAACCAAACATCATTCGCCACTTCTCAGTGAAGATTTTATTTCTTATCCTTCAAGAGTGAAGGAGTAGTAGCTAGTGTGTACTAGCCCACAAGTCATTTCAACTAGCCCTGAAACCCTTTTGATTAGCAGGATTAATCCTTCTGTAATTTGAATTTCCCAAAAAACAGCATTTGCCCGTCGGGCAAGTTAAGAACAAAAACCACTAGCCCGAGAGCAAAATCCACTAGCCCTGGGCTATCGGACACGACTTTCTTTGCACGCTGACATGTGATCTGGTAAATAAATAGAAAGCTTTAGATTTGAGGACGAGGAAAGAGTACGAGTGCAGTTTTTAACTTAAAGTTTTTTCGCGTATTCTCGAAAAATATTCAACCCGGAAAGCTTCACTGTATAATTTTTCACCTGAAAAATTAGTGAGGTTATCTTTTTCTTGGAGAAGGTTTAACCCTTCCCGGTCGCAAAATGATTAAACTTGTTCCCGCCACTGCGACATTCCCGCTAAAACTAGTAGTAGAATGACGACTACTATCATGGTTTCCCGCCAAAATGGCGCTGGTTCTCTCGCAAGCACCCTACTTAGAAAATCTCGTACTCGTAGTCGTCCTCGTCTCAGAATCTAAAGCTGTCTACCCAATGATTCAGGCCCTCCTTTTGACGGATGACACAATAGAGGTTACAAGATATAGGGAAGCCATACTCGCAGGCTTGTGTTACCCGGATGAACGTCACCGCGGCAAAGTTAGCAAGCCCGGCTCATTTGATCAAGGCCTCACTAGATTGGCCGGGAAAACAATAACCAATCAAAGTTAACAGTAGAACATAGCCCACAAACAACAAACGTGCGACTTATGGGGGTCGACCGAAATAAGAGGTTTTAATGAGCTACCACACTTCTCGATATATAATGTAAAAGACCTATCCTTTCTTTGGTACAAGCATTTCATAAAGAAGTGGCTGAACAAGAATCGCTATTACACCGTCGAATTTGGCGACAGTCGCAAGTACCTCGTCGTCCTTATTTGCGTCCGTTCCTCCATCACCTTCTGCTTTATCAGCCTCGCTTTTATTGTCATTTTGTATGCTCTGGGCAGCGGTTTCCTCTTCCATAGAATCCAGGCCTTCCTGGCCATCCAAGACCATTTGAGATTGTGCAGAACTGTCATCGAACTTGAAGTCTGTTTGACTCTCCTGACTAGCGTGTTTGGCATGTGTGTTGAGGTGGTTTTTTAGGTAATTTAGGCGGGTGAATTTTTTGTCGCAGTGCTNAAGATATAGGGAAGCCATACTCGCAGGCTTGTGTTACCCGGATGAACGTCACCGCGGCAAAGTTAGCAAGCCCGGCTCATTTGATCAAGGCCTCACTAGATTGGCCGGGAAAACAATAACCAATCAAAGTTAACAGTAGAACATAGCCCACAAACAACAAACGTGCGACTTATGGGGGTCGACCGAAATAAGAGGTTTTAATGAGCTACCACACTTCTCGATATATAATGTAAAAGACCTATCCTTTCTTTGGTACAAGCATTTCATAAAGAAGTGGCTGAACAAGAATCGCTATTACACCGTCGAATTTGGCGACAGTCGCAAGTACCTCGTCGTCCTTATTTGCGTCCGTTCCTCCATCACCTTCTGCTTTATCAGCCTCGCTTTTATTGTCATTTTGTATGCTCTGGGCAGCGGTTTCCTCTTCCATAGAATCCAGGCCTTCCTGGCCATCCAAGACCATTTGAGATTGTGCAGAACTGTCATCGAACTTGAAGTCTGTTTGACTCTCCTGACTAGCGTGTTTGGCATGTGTGTTGAGGTGGTTTTTTAGGTAATTTAGGCGGGTGAATTTTTTGTCGCAGTGCTCACAGGCAAATGGTTTCTCTCCTTTGTGTATGTTCAAGTGCCGTTTGTAGGTGGTGAGGTAGTTGAATTCTTTCTCACAAGTATCACATTTATACGGACGGTCACCTGATAAAAAATAACAAAAATTCATTCTTATCTAATTTGAAGAACACGGAAGACGAACGTAAAAGAAGAAAAGGAAGTTTTAACACTTCGCTTCGCTTCGCGCTTTGAAAAAACTATTTTGAGAAAAAAACCGCCTCCTTTTGTAGCCTAGGATGATTTAAAAGTTTTGAGAAATTTATAAAATGGGGGTAAGGCAGCTCGTCTTATTAATACGAGGACATTTAATTTCATTTATAAAAAACAACAACAAAAAAAACAACAAGCTGTTAAATATGGGGAAGGAATGAAAAAGGAGTGTTACACTCCTTTTTCATTCCTACTACAGTAGTCTTAGCAATGAAAAACGCCTTTGTATTTCAGGACATATGGCAGCCGTCGAGTCACTTGTAAACTAGCAATATTATACAACTGAAAGTAACAGAACATTTTCCGAAACTTTTCGTCAAGCTGGTGAATTTTGCAGCTAGACTTTTCCTACCTGTGTGTAATCTTATGTGGTTCTTGTAGCTGTCCAAGCGAGTGAAATCTCTACCACACTGCTCACATGTAAAGGGTTTGAACCCCGTGTGAAGGCGAAGATGACGTTTGTGACTTCCAAAATCTGAGAACACTTTGCCACAGAATTCACACTGAAAGAGAGAAAGCAGTGTCTATTGAGTCGATACATAAAAATAAAATGTTTGCTACAAAGTATTGTATACACAAGGATATGATTTGTAAATTGTGTATTTCTTAACATTTGAGGCAGATCTTTAAGGGTGTGTTCACACAATACCCAATAGCTTTTTGTGTCGCTACGAAGAGCTATTCGGTAAAGCAGTGCCGTCAACTCTACCAGATAATCCTGGAGACTCCAGATTTTGAACCGTATCTCCCGGTCTCCCGATTAAAGTGTGAGATCTCCCGGATAATCGCCGAAGTTTGCCATTTCTTCATTTCAGTAGACTCGACTTTCCAACGATATCAAAAGTTTCAACTATTTTGCGTTGTTTGTGCTGTTAAAATTGAACTTTTCCTCATAAACCCCGGTATGCGATAGTATAACTTGGTGGGAAGTAAACCAATCAGGTCAAATGTTATTACGCTAACAACATCTTTTTCGCGCGTTTTGTGCCATTGCAAATTTGTGGTGATCGGGGTCAACAAGTATTTTTTGCACAAATTACGTCATGTGTCGTGCGCTATGATGTCATCTATTATCCCTTCCCCTAGTTCTCTATCAATTCGCAACATTTGAGGACGTGGAGGGAAGGGGGGGGAGGGGGGACCGTTGACAGCCCTGTAAAGTATTAAGACCTTACCGATATGTGACACTCGGGTTTAGAGACCAGCGCGTCGCAGCTTCGCTCCCTTTCAGAAATTGTGCTGCCACAACAATTTTTGTTTGTGAACATAACCCCTATCCAGTATGATTTTTGTGGCAGCTAAAAAATGTCTGGTATAGTATGAACATAGCCTAAGAGTCTTGATAAGTTTTAAAAGTAATATAAAACAGTCTTTAACAGATCCCTAGTTTAAGGTATCAAAACTCTTTAGTCATCTCAGAAAAGGTCTCACAGTGAAGTAGAGATTTTACTGGCAAAAGACTTACCTTGAATGGTTTCTCTCCAGTGTGCGTTCTTGCATGTCTCTTGAGATCTCCTAAGTTAGCAAATCCATGTCCACACTGATCACACTGATAAGGGCGTTCCCCAGTGTGAACACGAATATGCGTCTTGAGATTGTATGATTTGTTGAACTCTTTGCCACAGTATTCACAAGGGTAAACTCTTCCTCCTTAATACAAGTCAGAAAGAATCATTTAAAAAGATTTCAGTCCCCACAGAACGGTAAGCAGCAAACGCTAAGTTTTAAGTGTTAGAAAGTTATTACTTTCTTTCAAGTCACTGCACTGTATAACTGTTTTCACCCACATGTTGAAGACAAAGAGCAGAGATTAGTCAAGTAGAAGCTCCACTGATCCAATTACAATTTCACAAAAAACATCTGTTATTAAAATGACAAGCAACATTCAACAAGAGTAACTATGACAGACAGAAAAAAAAATTACCTCCACTTGAAACAACCCTTGTTGCTGTAAATGAGAACAAGTTTTGGTTAAAAACTTATCACTAGGGCAACGGGAACGATAATGGGAGGTGGGAGAGAAAAGATGGAAGATGGGGGTTCTTAAAGGGTGAGAAGCAAGAGCAATTTGGAGAAAATTTTGCAATCAATTTATCATATATATTAATTGAGTGAGGGGCCGCGTTCTCGCGAGACTCGCTTCACTCGCCCAAATAGGAGAGCTTGCTCGCAGGCTAAGTATGAAATGCAAGGAAAAAAAGGTGGGAGATTTCACCCCTTTATCCGCACCCCCAACTCCAGTGTTACACAGTGTATTACTACAACCCTGGTCAAAACTCTTAGGACAAAAACACAATAGCTTGTCAAAATGACGCATTTTTCCTCTCCCTCCTCCCTCCCAGTGCAGTGTTGGTGTTATACTTTGAAGTTTTGTTTCAACTAAATCAACACAGCTAATATGGGGGGAGGGGAACAGCAGAAATAGGCTCTTATAACAACATTGACCCCAGCTTTTTAAGAGGTACAATNTAAGCGGCAAACGTGAAATTAATTGTTAGGAAGTTATCACTTTCTTTCAAGTCACTGCACTGCATAACTGTTTTCACCCACATTTTGAAGACAAAAGAGTAGAGATTAGTCACATAGACTGCTCCACTGATCCAATTACAATTTCACAAAAAACATCTGATATTAAAATGACAAACAACATTCAACAAGAGTTACTATGACAGACAGAAAAAAAATTACCTCCACTTGAAACAACCCTTGTTGCTGTAAATGAAAACAAGTTTCAGTTAAAAACTTATCACTAGGACAACGGGAACGATAATGGGAGGTGGGAGAGAAAAGATGGAAGATGGGGGTTCTTAAAGGGTGAGAAGCAAGAGCAATTAGGAGAAAATTTTGCAATCAATTTATCATATATATTAATTGAGTGAGGGGCCGCGTTCTCGCGAGACTCGCTTCACTCGCCCAAATAGGAGAGCTTGCTCGCAGGCTAAGTATGAAATGCAAGGAAAAGTAGGTGGGAGGTTTTCACCCCTTTATCCGCACCCCCAACTCCAGTGTTACACAGTGTATTACTACAACCCTGGTCAAAACTCTTAGGACAAAAACACAATAGCTTGTCAACATGACGCATTTTTCCTCTCTCTCCTCCCGCCCAGTGCAGTGTTGGTGTTATACTTTGAAGTTTTGTTTCAACTAAATCAACACAGCTAATATGGGGGGAGGGGAACAGCAGAAATAGGCTCTTATAACAACATTGACCCCAGCTTTTTAAGAGGTACAATGTAGAATGTGAGTTTAGCAAAGTGCGACTCTGCATTTAATTTCCTGTGTCCCAAGATGGCCAGTGCCCAGCAGCGTTTCTTGCTTTTCTATTAATTCTACAAACCCAGAAGACTTATAAATCCATTATAGGTGTTTCCTACTTTAACTCACCCGTAGCAGAATTAGCTGGAGCTACTGCAACAGGTAGCACGGCCACAACAGTAGTGTCAAGCTGAGAACGCACTTGATCATTGGTGACCACCATATTTGGTCGCTGTATGGACTGCACAGCTGACTGGACCTGTTGGAGAACTTCATTTGCTTCCTCATCTGGAACCTCTGCTTGCACTATCTCCATTACTGATATAAGGAAAAAAATACACAGGAAGTAAAAGTAATCAAGTCCGTCTCCCCCTAATCATAACCTCTTTCCCAGGGTCCTCTCCTACTCCGTCCCTGTGGCGAGGGAGAGAGACTCTGGTCACGTGTTCCTTGGACAATTGAAATCATTCGGCTATTTGGAAATGAGTCACAAAGCATTTCGACCACGACTGCCATAATATGCATTATGTTTTTCAGTCTCTCCCTCTTTTGCCCCTGGGGCTGAGTATGAGAGGACCTTGGGAACTAGGTTGCCTTAATCAGTGTTGGCATGTGGTCAGACTGAACCAGACCACTACCTGGAGTTTTACAAAGTCCTGTTAGTTTCTTGGTGTTGCAGAAGGGACTGCTAACCAATGCTGGAGAGGACCGAACCTGATATCAACCCAAACCTTAGTGAGTTACAGGAGTTGATCTCATCCAATCTGATGTTGGGTTTGTTGATGCAGCACCTTGATTAAATTCCACCAATTACCTATTCTCCCTATTAATCTGGAAAGTTTGAAGCTAAACCAACCTTGTGGAGGTGCAGTTGTCTCCACGTCACAGTGGTGCCCAACATTTATCACCGTAGCTTCAATTGTCTCACAGCTGATTTGTTGGATCTGTGACATCTGTGACAACACATTGGCTGCTGTTGCTTCTTCTTCACTTGACATGATTCACACTCTCTTCCTTGCTGTAAGCAGCAAAAAAAAAAACAGAATTGGCTAAGTGAACACTTAACACCACATGGCTTTGTTAAAAAAGATAGGTCTTAGGAACACACAAATGTTTTGCAAAATTCTACAGACATATTCATGTTTTAACTATGAAATTTTTTGATCATTGATTTCCATCTCAAAGCCATCTCAACGTCTCAAACTCTTAAACAATGTATTGTCATTCATTTAGAACTCTCAACCTGTACTGTTCACTTGAACAAACAACAACTTTGCACATGCATCATGTTATTTTGAACATTTATTTGCCCTCGTTGCACCACTATATTTTTGACATGAAACTTCATAATTTCATGAGCCTACTTTATGGAGTAGGTGAACACAACACAAAAATTGTCACTTTCTTTTTCTAAACTTAGATAACAATAGATAAGGTCCCAAAGAAAATTTCTCCAAGATTAGCCAAATTAAATGAAATTGAATAAGATTGGTAAAGTTTGAAATAATGGGAATAGACTTTTAAGTGGCTTCATCGGTTTGTTGTCATCCAAAAATTTTGCTACCATGGCAATGTGATGTAACGAATTCTCCTCTCTATGAAGCAATCACAAAAAATGGATCAGCATGATAAAAGGAAGCCTTGCAGAGGGGATAATCAATACAGTATCATCAACTGGTCACGCAAATAGAATAGCACCAAAGTTGTGTAGTGATAAAAGTACGACATGTAATGGTACTTTAGTAAAAATGAAAAAAAAAAACATCATGTTATACAACTTCTCAGAAAGGGTTTTTTTTGCATGTCACGCGATAGGATTGCTGATGATAGAATGTGTGTAGAAAATAACTGTGGGTCTCCAGAAATTTTGACCCAATGTTAAAATCTCTGCATCTTTCATGGTGAGTCCTCACGCCAAATATTTTTTGCTTGTTTCCTTCTCTTAGTCAAGAATAAATTATCGAACCACAGTCTCACATCTTCTGATCTGCCATCCCTGTATGATTTTTAATTGACTGGGTCAAGTTTGGGCTTAAGCAGTGACCAGTATCTCATTTTGGATGGGAGGGAGGGGGTGGGTGGGGAAAAATAATATGATGCTTGTCTGGGCATGACCCAGGCTTAATATTTATTTGTCTCCTAGAGGAAGGAGACATGGTATTTGCTTTTTTGTATGTAATCCTAAGCGATAGCTTCATGGGTAAAAATTTGGGGTTTCTGTCCAAAACACCTTGAATTGCTAGACCAAAATCTGCAGTTTCTACGAAGCCCACCCCTCCCCCTCATCCCCAGGCTCATTTCTCCATAAAACATCTCTGCTTTCGTTTACAAGTCTAGTGAACGAAAAAATCATCGAAGATAAAATTTCTTGATTTCAAATGCAATATCCTTTATTGTTGTGGCAAATTTATATGTATTTTTACTGGGCCTATGAGTGGATTCCTGATAAGTGAAAAAAAACTGTGATGTTGAGGAAAATACATGTAAGTATGTTCGTTAAATTTTCTGTTGCATTTGAAGCCATTGTTCAGCAATGGTGTACTGCGAGGATCATTCTTCATTTGACTTCATTTCTGCAGTTCTTATATTATTTATTTCATATACAAATATCACAATGGTGTAAATTACTGCCAAGTTCGTACAATGTGCTAGAAAACCAAAAATATAAAAACCTAAGATCAGGCTTGTTTTCCTTGAAAATTTTGCAAAATTATTAAAGGAACAAGCACGTGATGGTAGGCAAAGTTCAACAAGTTGTCTTGCGAGTACGTGGAAAAACCGGCCGTAAATATGTATAGACTTGACTCAGTGGATAATCCACTTTGTGAGTGTCTATTCTTCCAACTTTAGTACACAAAAGAGATCAAAAGTTTAAAATAAAATTACGCTGATCTCTTCATAGAGGTAACCACCAAGAGATCTCTGATTCATGTTCATTTCCTTGAGGAGTTACTTAATTTGAACTGCAAAGATCCAGTGTTTGGTTTATTCAGTGGTTTACTTAAGCTAAACATGCGAGGGAAAACAGCACAAGCTGTAACAGACATCGTCTTTTGATTACATGATCCTTCCTTAAGACTCAAGACAAGAAACACAAGAGCTTAAAATATATAAGAATTAAGCTAATCATACTTTAGCTGGAAGATAGGATGTGCAGTAACCTTATTTAAGGCGGTTCTCGGTCTAAATTGAAACGTGCACGCCAATTATATATTAAAATTAGCTCTCGACAAATTTAGTTGAACATGGCCAACTCCTTCTCCGATCACGAGGAACTAAAGCCAATCGCACTTGAACATTGATGATAAGTGATGACTGCTAGAAGTCGATGAATCCAAGAGACAAAAATTATGTGGACAGAAAAAAAATTGCGTGCTAGCTTAATGGCAGCCACAATACAAACGAAACTCTTCAACCTAACACCCGACACAATTTACGCTGTGGATCTCTTCCAAATTACCCACAAAACTGCACTAAAATGACTCGCTTTCTTTGCAAACATCCTTGATCGAAAAGTCCTACCTTCCAAATGCAGGAAAAGGTGAAATCTTGCTAAGTCACCGCGCCTTTCCAAAACAACACTCAAAATGGTGGACGCTAAGCAAGCGTGGTTCCTTTGCGAGGTGGAGTTCCCACCATGCACTGCGCACTTTCAAAAGTTTAACATGGCGGCTGTAAACGTTTTGCGCGAGGACGCTAGAAGACTGCAAGAAAAAGAGTGTTGCGTCCATTGAATTGGTTAGTAATAGTTCTTGCCGTATTTTACTAAAAATTGGAAGCCAGGTTTTTTTTTTTTTCTGGGCGAAATGTTTTTTCCCCATGTCTTGATATGAGCTACAAAATCAAAACAAAATATATGTTAATTTAAGCTTATGGGACATTTAAGCTTATGGGACATTTAAGCTTATATATGCAGGGTAGAGTCTGGTAGACATAAAGTCAGAAACTTTTCTGTTTGTAGGCCCTGGGACACAGAATGATGCAACTATATTACACTGCTCGGCCTTTTTTGTTGATTCCCCTTCCCCACCTTTGCTGCGGTGACTCCCCTAGAGAGGGACCCCAGGGGGGGGTACATCGTACAGGAGTTAAAGTTACGGGATGATTAAAGGGGGCAAAATCAAAACCCATTAAAATCCCTAGAGCTTCTAACAAAACCCCCAAAAATCCCTGAAAAGAACACTAAGCCCCCAAAATTCCCATGCCTAATTTCTGAGCCTTAAAATTTTTCAATAAACAATAATATTAAATGATATAACATGCAAAAAATGGAAATTGAATATTGTACTATCTGAATTTATCTTTAGAAATTATCTCTCCCTTGGCATACACACATGGTACTACGGCAATCTCCAGATTGTTTTATATACCCCAGCAAATCCTTTCTTAAATCAAGGCAGCAAAAAATACTTGCTAAACTTCCCAAAAAAATTCATGGAGCAGAAAACTTCAATCCCAAGAAAATCCTTCAATCATCCCTGTCACTGTAACTTAAAAGTAACCCCAAGTATGTTACAGGTTAATATTAACCCATTTGCTCCTGGAGATTTTGCCGAAAAACGCGTTTTGAAGCTAGTCGAGTGGTTTTCTGGTCACTGTCGTGCTATAAAGAGCTAAAACTTACCACAAACTGCTTTACAGGTCGTACACTTCGCGGCCTTCTAATCCAGATGCAAAATATCAGCTTGTGAAGTTCGGGCATGCGCAGAAAGCAAAATTTCGAGATAGTTTTTGGGTTTAAAAGTGACACAGCAGTCTTGACTTTTACTTTTCGCTTTCTCTCCTCCCTTCTTTTTTCGCTTTTCTTGCCTTATTTTTTTTTTCTCTTGCTGGGCATTTAGTAGGCTTTAATTTGGTGGGAAGAGTTTTTAGGAAAGCTTTTAGGATCTTAGGATTAGGTGAAAGGAAAGGTAGCTGGGTAATGGAACAAGATTTTCATGGAGATTTTCAGGTCAATGTCACGTGGTTTTTTGCTTCTTTCTCCGGTGTCCTTGACTGAATTGTGCTCATTCTGGTATGGTTTGAAAGATCTCTTCACTCTGCACAAGTTAGCGAAGAAAGTTGTCCTTGACCGTTAAAACTGATGACGTCACAAAGGGTAGAAAGGACCTGGATCCGCACGGGCGGTTACGGGCAGTTACGGGGCGAATGGGTTAAATTCTGGTTAAGATTTTTATTTAAGAATTAGAGCTAGGAGAAAAAGGAAATTTAACAAAAAAAGTAAGTGTGACAGTATTAAGCAATGGAAAGCCAGAAAATATAATTTTAAACCTGAATTTAATTTTGACGTGTAACAGAATATGGCAAACAAGGCATCAATGAACTTGTTGCAAATCCATTGAATCTCTATTTTTTTTGTAGGCTATGCAGTGTATTTTTGACTCGATTTAACACAAGTTTGCCATGATTTCCAGAGGAGCGAAAATAGCATTAGGAGGAGCATTTTGTTTTGCCTCAGCTGTAATATTTCTAGTTCATCAGATGCAGAACACAGATCGTAAGAGACTCAAAGAAGGTGTGATTAGAGACATAGAGAGACAAGAGAGAAAGAGAAAGAATGTTGAAGAGTTACAGCAACAGATTGAACTGACAAAGAAGTTGCAAAAACAAAGGGACAGTGATTTGTCTAATCAGAAAGAGAATGATGCAAGCTAACCAGAAGTATTTTTATTGGTACTAAGACTTTCATAAAATATAATCTTGTTGAGATCAAAATACAGTGTAACAGTAGGTGACAAGCCATACATGTGCTCTGGGATGGGTGCTCTCTGACAACCAGCTTACTGCCCCACCCGATGCTCATTCAGAGTATGCCATGAGAATCAAAGCAACCATAATTATGTAATTATGGTAATCAAAGTAAAAGCCAAAAACATTCCAGGAAACATTAACATCTTGTCTCCTTCACAGCCGTTTTTAGGGTCGTCACGCAAGGCTCCTCCCTCCTATTTGTGGGGAGGAGCGTTGTGTGACGAGCCTAAAAATGGCTGCGAAGGAGACTAATTAACACCTTGCCATTTCAAAATATTCTCCCTGGCTGAAGGAAGCTCACATGCTGTTGCATACTGTAGGGTACAGTGCAGGGCCAAGTTTGAAAAGCATGGTTAGCAGTAATCCTTGGCTGACTACAAGTGGGACATAGGGGTTGTCATGGTAATGAATTACCTAAGTGGATTAACACTTATTGGCTTTCAAACAATCTAGCCAAGCATCTTGGGAAAGCCTGGGTCAACCTTGATGTAAGAAACTGAGAAGTGTTATTTCTGCTTTATAGCTGTTGGTTTCCTTGGCTCGATTACTTAGAGTGCTTGTTCTATGTCACCTCTTAGAGTTACAGGGGACGCTTTACATTCAACCAAAACCTCCGGTTTTAATTTTCGGCAACTTCCAGGAGCGAATAGAACATCATTTTCCAAAATGTCCAAAACAGGGTAACCTCACGAGGTAAGCCCAAATTTTTGAAATTTTTTTCCCAGAAGTTTTTTTCCATTCAACTTTGCTCCCGGAAAATCTAGAATTTTTGGTTGAATGGTTTGCATCTTGGAAATTCAACAGGTTTTTTTTGGAACTTGGAAATTTAAAGGGCCTATTCGCTCTGGTGTGCGTGTGGTGGACAAGTCAAAAGAAGCAGGAAGTGGGGTGAAGGACTCCTCCCTTCCTCCGACTCTGATCTTTTAGCCATGTCTATCATGTTATCACACCTCCCGGTCTTCCTGTAGCCTGAATTTTAGCCATCTATCTAAGTCACACAATCCAAAGAGAGAGAAAGTTGAGGAGACAGTGGAAATTCAGGATATGGTGAAACTTAAGGAGATGGCTCAAACTCAGTCTAGTCTTCTCAGTCCTTTTGTGTTTGCACAAGAAAAAAAAAGATTGCAACGACAAACAGGAAATGCTCAGCGCTTGCTCAAGAAAATCACCTTGACTTACAAGGAGCACTAAAAAAAGGCCACTTTCAGGACTATACCAAGTAGAATCCTCAAGGGGTTTTTTAAAGAATGCCAAAAATCAAATGAATCTTGTTTATTAATTTTATCACCACTGGTGTTAATTGTTTTAACAAACAGGCAAAGCATAAAGATGAGAAATTTCGGAAAAGCTGGTTCAGAGTGACATTTCTAGGAATCTATTAAACCAAAAGAAGTCTATAATGCCACTATTAAAATATTTTTTATTCACTACCAACATCTTGCACTGTAAGTTTGTTGAATTATTTTGTTCCTGGGTATTAACCTATTTTTAGTCTTTGTGCATCAATAGTAAAACAAATATTGATGATATTAACATTCAGTTCAAGAAGTGTTTGTTTACATAAAATTATTAAGTAAAATGTCTTATTTAAAGGAGCATCTCAGGTCATCACCACCATAACTTCATTAAGTTTCTCTTTAACCAGCCACTTGACTGCACCCAAGTGTGACCTAAATGGAGGCAAATAATTGCGGCACCATGTTTAAGGATAGTCAATAAAACTTTGGTGTCATCTGCTTCCTCCAGCATTTTGTTCCTGACCTGTCTCAGGGCTAGTCTTCTAGACTGTGCAACAGGCATTCTTTTGGCCTCTCACACAACACATGTCCCAAGTAAAGAGAGTGTTGTGTGACAAGCTACAAGAACATTTTGTCTTGAGAGCTTGAACAGCATTTTGCAGAGCTACACCATAGTCTTGTTGATGTTTGTGTAACCAACTCCCACACATGACAGCAGAACTTTAGTCTCCCCATGGGTTGAACCATCGTCACCAGATTGTTGTGCTTGGATTTTAAAAATAACTCCAAAAAATTCTTTCAGGTGCCTTAAAAACTGGATGCTGTTTGTGGAAGAAAAATAAAAAAGTACAAATTTCATTAAGTAAAGAATGCAAGGTCACACTTTCATACACTGACTCAAAAGTAAGAACCATCTTGTCCGACATAATAAATGGCACAACAGGAAAATACTGCCCAGTACCTTCCATTTATATCAACAAACTTACGTGTAGGGTGTTAATGGTCCTGTTAGAAGTTTAGAAACATCTCTTTGTCCAAGGATCATATAAAGAAGTGCAAGACTCTGATGTCGAGAATCAACGTAACCTCCCTGTTGACAAAACAAAAATTAAAAAATGAAACAGACTCAAAGATAACCATTAAAAGACTACAACTGAGAAAAAAATATGAAATATCAACTCTTCCTTCTAACTCTGCATTACACGCAGTGACTGACAAAAATTCACCTGCAACATGCATACATGTAGTTAGAGAGGTGTCAGAGGAGCCTTGTAAGTAAATTACACCCAAAAGGTATCATCCCTACCATGTAAATTTCTTCAAGGAGCATTTCAGCTGCCTGGGTGCCGAGATCTTCAGGAACAACTGACTGTCCCTCCCCCACTGGGGTAGATGCAGTCTGTATACTCAGAATGGAGCCAGTTGTTGATTCTGCCACCAAGGAAATGCCGAACCCTGGAGATCTGCACAAATTAACAAAAAACCAGACCTTAAGTTTGATTGCCATTGTTGCATAGTTTTTGCACAACTTTAATGTTTACATGCAATCTTTCCTACATTGCCTCTCTTTTATTTACACGTGTAAATTTTAAATGCATTCGCACACAAAAAAATTACTAGATAGTGGAAATCCATCCTAAGCCTCTAAAAAGTGTTCTCCATTCATTTCGTATGGGACTGACAAGAAACATTAGTCAGTACTTATAATCAAGACAATGTACATGGTAGCTTAGTCAGTATATTTCCTTTTTTTCTCTCTTACTTTACAAAACTTTGATTCAGCACTGTGATGACTGACAAGGCAAACATTTTTCAGGACCTCAGGGTTTACCTTTCATTAAATCATTTTAATATTATTTTGACAATGAGGAAAAATTCTTCTAGTTTGGCTGTATAAAAAAACTCCTTCTACAGTACTTCCCACAGTCAGCTTTTCATCTTTCTTCTTGCAAATTTCAATTTTTTATTTTTTACAAAATGTTTGAGTTCTCAGAGAGTAACAAATGAGGTTAACCCTTTAAGTGCAAACAGTGACCAACAACAAGTTTCTCCTAACAATATCCATACACTGTCAAGAGATAAAGTTATGAGAATTAATAAAATGATCACCATAGAGAAAATGCTTTGATCTTTGATCAAATTCTCTCAACTAATTGTTAAAGGAGATGTATGGAGATCAGTTTGGAGAATTTGTATGTGGATATTGGGGCTTAAAGGGTTAATGTTGCACATACTTTCCAGACTGGGCTCCTTTGCAATGATCTGTGTAAATGTAGATGTCAGAAACAAACTGATTCAGCACACCACGAACAGCATCAACGACCCTGTTGCATATTGCAGGAGACACTCGCATTGCATAACTTCATGAGTCAACCAATCAAATTGCAGTTTGGTTAAGGTGATCATGAAACAATTTGAAACGGAAGAAATTGGAATATTGTCAGCTTCTAACCCCTGTTATATTGTGTCAGATGGAATAAGAAATGAAAATACTCATAACCATCTCATCCCCATAAGTGTCATTGGAGATTTTGCCAAAATTTTTGTCAAATCTTCAAAGGAAAGTATGAACCAAAAGCAAAATTTCTAGAGTAATAATGGTTTATTAACAGTGTATCCACCTAGTGGCTCTTCACCTGTTAAAAAACTACAATATATAAAAATAAAAAAACTATAATAAACAACAAAAAGAAAAAAAATAGAAATCTACAAAATCATATAAAAAGCAATAATTTTGGACTATAAAAGGATATTGTATAAAAAAAATAAAAATGTAATAAAGATTAGTAATAGTAATACAATCCTACATGCAATTTACAAACTATTTACAAATATTACTTAATAGATAGGCATTAACTTCCCTACAGTATACTTTGAAATCGCTACAGTTTCTAATATTTGCCGGAAGGACATTAAGGAGTGGTAAGGCAAGGGGGGTAATAGTATAGATGTTTTCTGAAGCAATTCAGTATAATTGACAGTGTATTTCTATAAAATAACAAATTGATGGTAAACAAACTACTTTAATTGAGGGCCATTTTAGGCACATTATATTTATAGAGATACCATAATACTACATAAATACGTTGCTGTACATCTGAAAAATAACCTAAATCATCATGGTTAAGGATACGCAAGTCCTCTTATCCGTTTTATCTTTCCTGGATCTGTATTCTGGATAGGTCTCAAACTCTTTCTTACAGGACAAGAGAAAATCACCTCCCCTCCCCCCTCGGGAGGTGCCCCTCTTTTAAGTATCTGCAACATTCAATGTAAATAAACAACACTTTAAGTTTATTCTCATGAAGCAAGCTGCCAAAGGCCACAATCGAAGTGAATTTTTGGTCTTAGCCAGCTCCAAAGTCAACAACCCCGATTCAGGTTTTCCTAGTTCATATACCAGGTTAAATATCACATTAATGCCCTTAGCAAACACAGTGATGCTGATGTCAAATAATCAATGGAAATAAGTAACAGTTACTGTTTACACGGTACACAAACCACACCTACTCCCCCTAGATTTTTGTTGACAACATGCAGTATGGTTTATCTTGGAAAAAATCCTGAAACTTAGGAATCCAAACACCCCTTCCATAAAAAAAAAACAAGAATGTTCAACAAAGTAATCCATTTTAGTCTGTTGAACTGTCTGACACTCATATGCTG